TTTAAGAAGACAGATCAAGCAATAATGCAGCAGGGCATTTGGTCTAGTGGTATGATTCTCGCTTTGGGTGCGAGAGGTCCCGAGTTCGATTCTCGGAATGCCCCTAATCAAGCCATTTATTTGTAATTCTTTTTGGCTTTTCTTCTATTATTTTATATTTTAAATACTGTTAATACTTGCAAGCAGCTTATAGAGGCAGGCAAACCCATTGTTTCTTCTCAAAAAGTCAGATCCCAACGCAGCTTATAAGCTACTAAATACTTATAAGATACAATAGATATAGCATTGGCAATAATCCTATCAATAAAATGAACCTAGTGGCACCCCGTAGTTATACATTATATACAGTAAAGGTTTGTCTGAATGAAATGAATGACTTTTGAATCTAAGTCAACTACATCTAGATCCTACATCAAGAAGAGAGATCAAGAAGTATATAAACAACAGGGCATTTGGTCTAGTGGTATGATTCTCGCTTTGGGTGCGAGAGGTCCCGAGTTCGATTCTCGGAATGCCCCAATTCAAACAATTTAATACAATTCTTTTTTTTTCTTTTTCTCCTTTTGCCTCTTCTCCTATCAATCAATATTTTTGATTAACTTGTCCGACAAAAAGCAATTTGTCAGACAATGTTAATAAGATGTTAGCACATTATCGAAGCAGGCCAAGTCAACTCAGTCGGGAAAATAGTTATAGAAGTGTAAGTTATTATACGATATTTCGATTTTAGAATACCATTATTTCATCATAAATGTCTAAACACAAAGATGTTCATTACATAACATGCACAAAAATTTAAATAGTGAATTCAAGAACGAAGGGGGGAATGTATACATTGCATTGATCACTCCATATAAGAGTGAAATCTAGTAGTCGTTGTTCGAGATGTTTTCATGGCAAAGGCAATAATGTAATTGAAAAAATGAACTAAGTGCTACCTATCCCTTAACTAGCCATTATAGACAATGAAGGTTGACTAAAATAAACAAATGGCTTTTGAATCTAAGTCAACTACATCTATAGCCTAAATCCAAAGATTATGCATCGTACGAGATCACCTTAAAGAAGACAACTCACGAATAACAAAAGGGCATTTGGTCTAGTGGTATGATTCTCGCTTTGGGTGCGAGAGGTCCCGAGTTCGATTCTCGGAATGCCCCGTTCGATTTTTTTTATTGACTTTCACAAATAAACTCTTATTTTTTCTATTTTCTCAACTTTTTTTTACTATGCAAGAGGGTCCCGAGTTCGATTCTTGGAATGCCGTATTCAAACATGTTAATTGCAATTGCAACTCTGTTCGGCTTCTTTCCCATCATTATATATTTTTTGATTAACTTGACTGACAGAAAGCAATTTGGCAGTGGAATAACGATACTTTATGATATTTTGTTAAGAAATCGTTAATAAAAAGGTTAGCAGCTTATAGAGGCACGAAAGTTCAACTAATAGTAACAGAATTGTTAATTACTATTTAGTATACGGTATTCAGATTTTAGTACATGGTATTCAAGAAAATTCAATTACCTAAGTCAATCACCGAGCTCTTAAATCAACTGCAAGAAGTAGTTGTACTTGTAGCACGAACTAATCATAGAGGTTCCTACAAAAAGAGAAATGACAACATAGTCACAATCAAATTAAAATTTGAAAAATGGGGAAAACATACATCATGTTCGAAGTCAACAAGTATAAGGAACCTTAGCAAAAGGCATCTATAACAGATACCATATCCTGTTAATAATACGAGCTTATCAAATCAGTAAAATGGTACCGAATTCGAGTAATGGTAAAAGCATTTCAAATAAAAGGAACTGAAATCACTCAAAATGCTGCAAGTCAATTTTAACCAATACATCAGATATATGAAATTGAATGGTGAACAATGTTGATAGACAAAACCACGTACAAGTACAATATGAAGTGATATTATATCAGCAAATGGGCATTTGGTCTAGTGGTATGATTCTCGCTTTGGGTGCGAGAGGTCCCGAGTTCGATTCTCGGAATGCCCCCATTCTTTTTTGGTTCATTGACTTTCACAAATCAACTATTCTTTTTTTCCCTTCTCTTTCATTGTTGATTTATCCCCTTCAATTCATTTCAACAAACATTTAAAAGGTAAATTTCTCCGTACAAATCTACAACATAAATTATGCTCTTTCAAGACATGAAATTGCTTGGACATTGTATGTAATTTACCCAAAATTGTTGCATCTAAACAATAAGTTATAATTACATGGCATGAACAATAGTAAAACAGTGAGTTGAAGAACTCATAGATGGCATGGATCACTCGATGGACGTTGCTTAAGAGCTTCACAAACAAACATCTACTTATTCAAGAATTCACCAATGTTTTGTTACTTCATAAGTTCAAATCTAGGTATCGTTTTTGTGGAACTTTCATGACATTGCCAATAATCCAATCAACATAAGTCGAACCTAATGCCACCCCTTAACTTTACTTATAGACATTAACTGTTGCCTAAAAGCAACAAAAAAATTACCTATCTAAGTGAACTGCATCTAGAGTATAAATCCAAATAATTATCTGCAATATACAACATCATCTTTAAGAAGACAGATCAAGCAATAATGCAAAAGGGCATTTGGTCTAGTGGTATGATTCTCGCTTTGGGTGCGAGAGGTCCCGAGTTCGATTCTCGGAATGCCCCCTTTCAAACAAGTTTAGGCAATTCTTGTTTTGGCTTCTCTTCTATAATTTTATATTTTAATAAATTGTTAATAACTAGCAAGCAGCTTATAGAGGCAGGCAAACCCATTATTTCTTCTCAAAAGTCAGATCCCAACCCAACTTATAAGCTACTAAATACTTATAAGATACAATAGATATAGCATTGGCAATGATGCGATCAATAAAATGAACCTAGTGCCACCCCGCAAACATACATTATATACAGTAAAGGTTTGTCTAAATGCAACGAATGACTTTTGAATCTAAGTCAACTACATCTAGATCCTACATCCAAAGCATTATGCACTATACAACATCAAGAATAGAGATCAAGAAGTATATAAACAACAGGGCATTTGGTCTAGTGGTATGATTCTCGCTTTGGGTGCGAGAGGTCCCGAGTTCGATTCTCGGAATGCCCCATTTCAATCAAGTTAATGCAAGTTTTGGTTCCCATCATCAAATATTTTTTGATTAACTTGTCTGACAGAAAGCAATTTCGCAGAGCACATTATAGACGAAGGTAAAGTCAACTCACGGGGCGTATGGTCAATCTAGTTACTAGTTATAGAATTGCTAACTATTTTAAGATATTCAGATTAACTTCTTAAATGTCAAAATGATCTAGTCCAAAACCCAATACAAAAAACTCCTCGATATTTGAATACAGATAGTGCAGAGTGCTAAAGAAACTAAGTTAGGAGAACGGGTAGCTACATTAGAGTCCAGTCCTAAATTTGAGAAAATAACAAATACCCAAAACTATGGCATCTAAACACAATGAAGTTAATTACACAACATGCACCCAATTTAAATAGTGAATTCAAGAACTCGGGGAGAAACGTACACAATGCATGGATCACGTCAGAGATCAATTAAGATTTTTACAAAGAAACATCTGCTTGGTTAAGAATTCACAAAGTTTTTGTTATTTCACAAGAGTAAATCTAGTAGACATTGTTTGAAGAACTTTCATCTATTCAACAAAACGAACTTAGTACCGCCTCTTAACTAGCCATTATAGACAATAAAGGTTGACTAAAAGCAAAGAATGAGTTTTCAACCTAAGTCAACTACTTCTAGAGCTTAAATACAAAGAATTGTGCACCTACATCATCTTAAAGAAGACAAGTCAAGAATAACAACAGGGCATTTGGTCTAGTGGTATGATTCTCGCTTTGGGTGCGAGAGGTCCCGAGTTCGATTCTCGGAATGCCCCTTTCAAACAATTTAAAGGCCTGTTTGGCTTTTTTCCTATCATTTTATATTTTTAGGAAATTGTTGATTAAAGGACTATCAAATTATCGAGGCTGGCAAAGTCAACTTAACGGTAGAAAAAAGTTTGGATAACGGCTATAGAATTGTTAACTATTATAAGTTATATTTATTTATTCTCGATGTCAAAGGGATCTAGTCCAAACTCTACCCAAAAAAATCTTAGATGTATACTAGTTTAAACCGATACAATTAGGCTCGACAAAGAGAGTCCATTTTGAATAAGAATTAGCAAATAGCTAATCGAGACAGAGTATGAACGAAACCAAGCTGTGGGAAATGATAGCTACATCAGAATTTATAAAATTTGCATAAGCATTTGATGATCTTTTGAAAACCATTAAATCGAAAGTGAAAAACGGACTCTTAACGACAACGGAAGTGTCGAGGCATTACTGAGAATTTTAAAACAACGTGATATGCACAACTATTAAACAAGTGAATTAAGGAATGCACAAATGATCTTTAAGAACATCTTCAATTGACCAAAGTTTCATTACATCATAAGGGTAAATCTGTCAGTCGTTGTATGCAGAGCTCTCAAAACATTGCCAAGAATCTGATCAGCAAAATTCAAACCGAGTCCCGACCTTAACTAGCCATTATAGAAATTAAAGGTTATCTAAAAGCAACAAATGACTTCTCAATATAAATGGATTATATCTAGATTCTAGCCAAACCAAACATTAGCTTTAAGAAGACACACAAAGCAAAGAATACATGACAGGGCATTTGGTCTAGTGGTATGATTCTCGCTTTGGGTGCGAGAGGTCCCGAGTTCGATTCTCGGAATGCCCCTTTTTCAAACAAGTTAATTGCAAAAAGAATTTGACCTCTCTCCTATCATTTTATATTTTAATAAATTGTTAATTAAAGGGCTATCGAATTATAGAGGCTGGCAAAGTCAACTTAGGGGTAGAAAAATTTACTTCCTCACGATGTCAAAGTGATCTAGTCCAAACTCAACCGAATAAAAATCCTAGATGTTTACTAGTTAAAACCGATACACTTCCACTCAGTAAACAGAGTCCACTTTGAATAAGAATTAGCAAATAGCTGACAGAGTAAGAAATCGAGCTCGAAGAATTGATAGCTATAATGGTAGTGTGAATATGTGAACCATTTACAAAAACATTTGATGATCTTTTTGCAAACCATTAAGTCAAAAGTGAAAAACCAACGTTAACAAGAATGAAATTGTAGAGGCATTATTGAGAATTTACCCAAAATCATGGCATCTAAACGATGAAGTCAAAACAACATGATTCGCACAACATTAAACGAGTGATTGACAAACTCGAGGAAGAATACCCACCCCACCCCACCCCACCCCCCACCAACCACCCCCACCCCCCACCCAAGCAACAAATGACTTCTCAATATAAATGGATTGTATATATTGTGTAAAACCGAAAGCATTATGCATTAAACAACATCACATTTAAGAAGACAGATCAAGCATAAACAACAGGGCATTTGGTCTAGTGGTATGATTCTCGCTTTGGGTGCGAGAGGTCCCGAGTTCGATTCTCGGAATGCCCCCATTCTTTTTTTCTTCATTGACTTTCACAAAAAATCTTCTTTTTTTCTTTTCTTCAATTTTAATTCATTTTAAACAAATTTTATATGCAAAAATGTACCCATAAACAAATGAAACCACAATCCCTAGCACATAACACCACAGCACAATACCTTAAAATAGTACACCAAAATAAAAGAATAATAATAAATAAAAAGTAGACTTGCATCAAACAAATCTGCAGCAACAGTAATTCAAAAACCCATGTTCTCTGATTTTTTTTTTTTATTCAGACGCCGCAAAAAAGGGCAATAATTGCTTAAGCTATAGGCATTTAATCACACCATAGATCTCAATATATTACAAAATAATGGAGTCAGAAAAAAAAACAGCAGCAAATAAATGATTTTTTAATGTCAGAATCAGCAATACAAAATTCAGTACCCAAAAAAATATTGATTTGAACATAAATTAGGTTACCGATACGAAAATTGCGAAAATATTTAGCAGAGATCGTACCTTATTGAATCCTGAGCAGGGTTTTGTTGGCGAAGATACTAAATTTTGATTTAGGTTATGAGAGAGAGGTTTCTCCGCATAGAATAGAACGAACCAGAAGAGAAGTATCAGTGGGCACATATTTCACAATTATTCTAATTTAAATTTATCAGTTGCTATTAATTTAAAAAAAATTATAATTAATAGTTGCCATTTTGGGCTGCAAAATTGGACCAAAATTAACACACACAAAAAAAAACATTTTTTGTTAACTTTTTCAAAAACCACCCAGAATAATTCCAAATTTTATTTTTGCTTCAAACATTATTTTAGTACAAAATAATTTTATTAAGAAAAAAAAAATTTGTTTATTTCTCAAATTCGACTTCTACAATATACTTTCGGTAAACACTTTTAGACATAATTTGACTGTTATAGCATTTTATATCTTACTTTCATTTTCAAATACTTCTTTTACTAAACATTTTTCCCCAAGACGAAACGGAAATAAACTGCAAAACATTTCCACATATTGATGCCCGTAATGTAACGAAATAAGCTATTTTTTTGAAAGTTTCAATTTATGAAACAGTGTCGTTTGGAGTGAAGCATAAGTGACACCTTTCTTTTAAGTTATTCACGTTTTTTGGTTAATAAAGGAGGGGATGGAACGACAGCGTTTCAACGGTTGCATTGGTAGGGTCACAAGCACGTGAGTCTGAGTCTTCGGCCCGGTTGCCAAGTTCGCAAAAGCATGGCTTCTGCCACTGCAAGCATTTTCTATGGAGCTCAAGTTGTTTGTTCTTATACATAAAATTCTACATGACTTTTGGAATAATAATCGAATATCCACTCTTCATTTTTATTGCATTCTTTGTTTTGTTTTATCAATGTCAACGGCTACATGGGAAGGGTCACAAACAAGCATGCGAGTCTGAGTCATATGTTGTTGTCAAGCCATATAAAAGCATGGTTTATGCCGCTACACGTGCGATCATTTTCTATGTAATTTGTAGTTTAGCTAAGTTAGGTTAAAGTCGTTTAACTCGATCTATCTTCGAGCTCCAATTGTTTGTTCTTATTCCAAAAAATACATACTTAACTATTGGAACAATAATCGAATATCCAATCTTTATTTTCATTGCATTTTTGTTTTGTTTATCAATTTTATGATTATTCCTCGAATCATAACACGTAACTTGTAATCGTGGTCACATCACAATACTTTTTTTCTCGATTTATATATATTATATAAATAAAAACATATATATGCACGGGGAAAAGAATACTCTACCCCCAACACTATTACATGTTGTTACAACAATATATTTTCGTGCACAATATTTCCATCTTAGATATTGATCTTGAAGTGAATCGTCTTCTTCGATCCCTTGTTTGGCAAAACACTAAAATCTTGTGAACAAGAATGTTTATCTCCATTGCCAAGACTAACTGTAGCTTCGTAATCGCCGTGAAATAGTGAAGTCCCAAACAAACCCTTAGCGTTTGTGGTCCCAGGTGAGTCAGCAGCATGAGTCCATTCACTTATAATTTTGTCGACAACATCTCCGGTTTCCAAATTCTTGAAATTGTTGTCCGTCAAACACATAGCGTAGCATCCCTCGGGTTTCCACGCAGCCCACATCATTATTCCTTCGACTGCCGAATGTGAATGAAGCTCCCTTGTAATTCGCTCCAAGTATAATGCCTGCCCAAACAACGATGCGTTAGAAATGACCTGATTTTACCCTAATTATTAGGTACATCATAATCGGACCCAAATTCGAATTAGTACTTTCTGAAAATTTTGATATGTTTTTGAAGTGAAAAATAAATTTCAATTCCGTTCCAAAATAAATCAAAAAAGTCGGATTTTTTGGGAAATTGGAATGAAACTTTTTGTTCCAAAATCGGAAATTTTCGGACCGGAATAGGCGGGATTTGGAAAATTCCAAATACATAATAGTTTTGATATTTTGAGTGTAAGTTTTAGAAGAAAAAGAAAAATGGATCGAAAATCCAAGAAGTTTGGGAAAATTGGAATTTCGAAATGAAAGATATAATTCCAAAATCGGAAAAATTCAGATCGGAATCGGCGGAAATCAGAAAATCCCATTCCAGTTTCCGCCCCTACTACATCATCACTCATTACACACAAACAAACAAACACACATCCATGTTGGTGTGTGTAAAATAATGATGACGATACCCAGTCACGTAAACTTCACCGGGTGTAACATATATTTAACCAAGTTCCACTCTACAAGCTTTTCTTTTTAGAAAATTCAGGACTTGCAAATTTAGAAATTAGATCTAAGTTAAAATACTTGGGCAGAAAATCGTGTTAGAAAAGACGATGTACCTGGTTGGGCACGGATTTAACATCCAATTCAGTAATCCAAATGGGCAATTTCGCAGAAGCAAGCTGATCAATAGTCGACCTAACATACGGCAAATTCGCAGTGGAGAAATGCGCCTGCAATCCAATACCCAAAGGACCATTATACCCCATCTTCCTCATCTGCCAAATCCTCTGCAAATACTTTGAAGGAGTCGCCTTATCATAAACATCTCCTGCATGTTCAACGGTGTTGTACTCGTTCAGAAACGGCAACGCTTTTCCGTCAAGCTTGTTTGCCATCTCGTAGTAAACATTGGAAGCGTTGGGCCCCAGCTTTGTCTCGAAGAAGTTCCAATGGAGATTCTCGTTCATGACATCCCAGTGAATTAGCTGACCTTTGTATCTGTTCATCACTGATTTTATCCTCTTGTCTGCGGCCACACGCAATTCGTCAGACGAAAGTGCCGGGACCCACTCGGGCTGGAGGTTGCCGTGATCCCAAAATACGTTGTGGCCTCGGATTGCGACTCCGTGGGATTGGGCTAACCGGACCATGGCGTCGCAAATGGTGTAGTTCTCGACGCCTCTTTCGATTTCGTTTGCGTACCTGTTTGATGAATCGGATCGTGTTATATCGGAACAGAACTAGCAATTACGCAAAAAATCGATTGTTTTGCATGAGTGGAAAACGAGTTCCAATTTTGTTCCTAATACATCGTAAAATTAGAAAATTGGGACTTAGTAAGTTGGAATGACAAAAAATGTCCCAAAATCGAAAATTTTCGAACCATTTTCGAAGAATATCGAAAATTTGGCCTAAAAAGGTGTTTTGGAACTTATTTTCGGGAAATATGTTTTGAGGGAAGAATGTTGGGAATGAAAGTCATATTTGTTTATATTTTGGGAGGAGACAAAACATACTGTGGCGGTCAAATCATGTTTAGAAGTGTTGGGAAAAGGTATTTTAGAAAAAAAATTTGAAAAATCAAAATTTCGGGAAATAAATGGAATTTTCGGAATTATTTTCAGAGATTCAAAATGGTTCACAAATCGGAATCTCACTTCTATTCCAATTCCAACAAGAAAAAAAAAGGGGGGGTGGGCGAAACAAAATATCGGAATTCGAAATGAAAAATATTGTTCCAATCTGAAAATTTCGGAACGAGAATCGGCAAATTCAGAAATCCCGTTCCAATTTCCACCGATACAATACTTACCATTTCATTTCATTTTCGAAGACAGTGTATCTGAATCTGGAAAAGAACCAATCTCGGTATTTGGGGTTTTCGAGGATGTGTAATGTGATGGCGGTGCCGAAGGGGAAACTGGGGCGGCGTTGTTTGATGGTGACTGTGGCGTTGGAGATGGGGCGGTTATGTTGGTCAACCGCCTGAAATTTGACCCTTGACTTGCGGACCTTTTCGATGCTTTTATCTTGGTGGGATTTCCATTCTTGTTCCGTAAATGGTTGCAGTGAGATGCTGTCTGCGTATATATCGACATCTGCATTTATGCTCTGCAAATCAAAGAGTGGAAGAAAATCAAAATTACGCCACCGTTTTTGAGTAATTAAATAATTTATTAAAAAAAATAATTTAAAAAAAATCGAGTAACCACCCTAAATAAGAGCTCCGCCGGGCCAGAAGCATTAGCGATAAAACCACCTTTG